TATAACATACACGGTCCTTTGCATCCTGATCGGGACATCAAATATATCTGTTATTATTCTTCACATTAGAAAAGTTAGCAATGAATACGGTAAAAACATGTGTAATAATGACTTTTAAATGGAAACATCCGAACATGAACGTTGAAATACTTAATACATACATCTAATAACATACACGGTCCTTTTCATCCTGATCGGGACATCAAATTTATCTGTTATTATTCTTCACATTAGAAAAGTTAGCAATGAATACGGTCAAAACATGTGTAATAATGACTTTTAAATGGAAACATCTGAACATGAACGTTGAAATACTTAATACATACATTTATTAACATACACGGTCTTGTGCGGGGACATCCTGATCAGGACATNCACACTATAACACCACCAAATTTTAAAATAATACACCACCGAACACTAACACTATAACACCACCAAACACCCACACTATACCACCACTAAACACTAACACTATAACACTTCCACAAACTCACACTATAACACCACCAAACATTCACCCTATAACAAAACCAAACTCTCACACTATAACACCATCAAACACTCACACTATAACACCACCAAATATTAAAATATTACACCACCGAACACTAACACTATAACCCCACCAAACACCCACACTATAACACCACTAAACACTCACACTATAACACTTCCACACACTCACACTATAACACCACCAAACACTTACACGACAACACCATAAAACAACTCAAACTATAACACCACCAAACACTCACACTATAACGCCACCAAACACTTACACTATAACACCACTAAACACTCACACTATAACACCACCAAACACTTACACGATAACACCACCAAACAACTCAAACTATAACACCCCCAAACACTCACACTATAACACCACCAAATTTTAAAATATTACACCACCGAACACTAACACTATAACCCCACCAAACACCCACACTATAACACCACTAAACACTCACACTATAACACTTCCACACACTCACACTATAACACCACCAAACATACACACTATAACAAAACCAAACTCTCACACTATAACCCCATCAAACACTCACACTATAACACCACCAAACTTTCACACTATAACACCACCAAACTCTCACACTATAAAACCACCAAACACTCACACTATAACACCACCAAATATTAAAATATTACACCACCGAACACTAACACTATAACCCCACCAAACACCCACACTATACCACCACTAAACACTAACACTATAACACTTCCACAAACTCACACTATAACACCACCAAACATTCACCCTATAACAAAACCAAACTCTCACACTATAACACCATCAAACACTCACACTATAACACCACCAAACTTTCACACTATAACCCCACCAAACCTCCACACTATAACACCACCAAACTCTCACACTAGAACACCACAAAACACTCACACTATAACACCAACATACACTCACACTTTATTACCACCAAACACTCACACTATAACACCACCAAAATTTCACACTATAACCCCACCAAACACTAACACTATAACACCACCAAACTTTCCCACTATAACACCACCAAACACTTACACGATAACACCACCAAACAACTCAACCTATAACACCACCAAACACTAACACTATAACACCACCAAACTTTCACACTATAACACCACCAAACTTTCTCACTATAACACCACCAAACACTTACACTATAACACCACCAAACAACTCAAACTATAACACCACCAAACACTAACACTATAACACCACCAAATCCTCACGCTATAACACCACCAAACACTCACACTATAACCCCACCAAATTTTAAAATATTACACCACCGAACACTAACACTATAACCCCACCAAACACCCACACTATACCACCACTAAACACTAACACTATAACACTTCCACACACTCACACTATAACACCACCAAACACTTACACGATAACACCACCAAACAACTCAAACTATAACACCCCCAAACACTCACACTATAACACCACCAAACTTTCACACTATAACACCACCAAACACTAACACTATAACACCACCAAACTTTCACACTATAACACCACCAAACTCTCACACTATAACACCACAAAACACTCACACTATAACACCAACATACACTCACACTTTATTACCACCAAACACTCACACTATAACACCACCAAACTTTCAAACTATAACACCACCAAACACTAACACTATAACACCACCAAACTTTCACACTATAACACCACCAAACACTTACACTATAACACCACCAAACAACTCAAACTATAACACCACCAACCACTAACACTATAACACCACCAAACTTTCACACTATAACCCCACCAAACCTCCACACTATAACACCACCAAACTCTCACACTATAAAACCACCAAACACTCACACTATAACACCACCAAATATTAAAATATTACACCACCGAACACTAACACTATAACCCCACCAAACACCCACACTATACCACCACTAAACACTAACACTATAACACTTCCACACACTCACACTATAACACCACCAAACATACACACTATAACAAAACCAAACTCTCACACTATAACCCCATCAAACACTCACACTATAACACCACCAAACTTTCACACTATAACCCCACCAAACCTCCACACTATAACACCACCAAACTCTCACACTATAAAACCACCAAACACTCACACTATAACACCACCAAAATTTCACACTATAACCCCACCAAACACTAACACTATAACACCACCAAACTTTCACACTATAACACCACCAAACACTCACACTAAAACACCACCAAACACTCACACTATAACACCACCAAACACTCTCGTATTAAACCCTTCTGACTCTTTTACCCTATTAATTATCCCTTAAAAATTAAATTCGTTGTATTAATTTAAAGAGTTCAAATTTAGATTTTGTAAAACGTTATATTCAATAATACAATTGTCATGTATCAGTTAGCTGATAGAACGCTTAAAGTCAGCCCCAACATATACAAACACTTAGTGGCCTTCAATAGCCCAAGTACACATGTGTAGCTTGATACATCCACGCATAGATAGTTATATCTTGAAATAGAAACAGGAAACACCTTGTAAATGTATATATTTATAGACATGGCGGGCTTCCCCTTGTCAGAATATAACCGACCAAGAGACTTCAGACCTCTTTTTCGAATGCTAAAAATGCAGTGAAAATTTACATCTTATGATTTAAAAATAGAGTTTAGTCATATTTCGGGAATAACCTATGCAGCACTACCAACGTCACGCGTGCGTTTGCTGGCACATTGCCCGTTAACCACGAGGGCGCAGTAAGTAGTGACAGCAGACTCCGGACAGGCCACTAGTTTTTTTTCTTTGTCATCAAGGGTAAGTTCTTTATAAGTCTTATTATTACTTGATCAGTTGTGGTGTGTTTATATTTCATCATATCTACATGTATGCACCATAATTGTTGTAATATGTAAAACCGTATGATTGACAGTGTACCTGACGTCTGACACACTTGCTACCTGTCTTCTAGATATATATGTACGCACGAGACCCCCTTTAACGGGGATGGCTGACAGTTGTTATCTCATAAAATGCATGTAATTCCACCAATTTTGCTCGATCATTAAATACTTTTGTTAAAGAAACAGACTGTCTCAATCTACGGAGGATATTTATAAATATACTTAGTCTATGGCGGCATTTTCTGTCTTTCAGAAATTTTCCTAAATGGCAACCGTCACAGATTACCCCTTTCGTTTACCCTCGGACGTCGGGAAACTTGGAGAGGAGACACCGAATTTCACCAAGGCGTACTCGGAGTCCTTTAAAACCGGTTCATATCTCCCCATGTTGAAGCAAGAACTTCGCCTTAAAATACAGAGCCGACGGATGCTGGAGGGGCAACCGGAACTTCAAGTGAAGTTTGAGGAGGCGCAGAAACACCCGGTAAGTATGTACACGAGGAGTAACTGATTTAATTTAGTCATAAGAATAATGAGCGAAACACAATACTGTTTATATATAGGAGTTTGACGAGTTTCTGTTTTATCTACGACACACATGACACGTGTAGTAACGTTAACGACATATTGTCACCCCATTTCCCAAATTTGATTACACCATCGAGGGAGTGAATCGTCGAACCCCAAACAGCAGGAGGGTCGAAACTTTGGACAAACATAATGCATGAATCTATAGGTTATACCGCACAGCCATTTTGGATGGGCTTCCTTGGTGTTTACGATAAATGTTATTAAGTCCATCTCGAAGACGTTTGTTGATTTCAGACAATCAGTTGTTATATGCTTTACCTTTTGTTACAGCTAACTGAAAGAGAGGTAAAAAAACTCGAATCTAGGAAGCATCACAACCGACTGTCAGCGAAGAAATGTAGGGACAAAAAGAAGGTTGGAGAAGAGATTCGCTCAAAGGTGTGTGTTTGTTCTTATTGTCAGGAAATCACATGTCAAATAGAATTGTGAAATATTTAACTACGCCCAAATGTTATTGTTTTTAAAAACACATTGTTTTATGCAAAGGTTTTCCTTTCAGGAGCTCGACGCGTTGAAGATAAGAAACAAACATCTTTGGGAGCAATATCACAAGAAAACACAATGGAAAATTTTGCTGACCAAGAATTTAATGAAGCACATTAGGACGCGGGATTCTAACCTCAGTGAATCGGACTTTCTAACTATTCTGCCAGATCTGCTGAAAGTACGCCGGGCGGAGAAGGATTTGTTCTTGAAGAATAATGTTGTACAGCCAGTAAGCACAGAGTTACAGGCAAATGAAATGTCGGAATGGAGCTCAGGTTTACAGCAGGAAAATTCGTGTGTACATAGTGAAATGCTACAACAGAATAACGTTCTTGAGTGGTTACAGCAATGTAGTGAGACGGAACCTGGTGAGATACAGGCGGAAGTCGAGGAACAGACGGAACCAAAAACCGTCGTATGCACATATGGAAACCCTGAAATACAATCTAACTTTACATTACAATCAAACTTTGCTTTACAACAAATCTCTGAAATACAGACGCGCTTTGCGTCACAGCTGGAGGAGGATACACGCACTGGTGTTGTCCACGAACATCGCTTACAGCAAGACTGTGATGATACTGCTGTGATAGACACCGACAATGATTTTCCGTACCAACAGACGAACGCGGTTTTACAGGGACTGGATTTTCTATTTAGCGAGACCGGGTAAAGAGCGATTAGAAAGGTCAATTTCTGTTTGATAGATACCAGATTGTAGGTTCAGATGTTTGAAGACATTGTTTAAGTAAAATTTCATAATAAAATTAGAATCTTCAATAAGAAATCTTTGTAGCCAGAACACTTTCCTTGAAACAATGGCCAAGGGGACATTTTCATCTACAGTTAAATCATGTGTAATTGATTTGGAGAAATACTGATTTTATGGAAATCTTGTATAATTTTCCTTAATAAAATGTCGAACAATATGGCGTGTCTGTTATTTCTAGTGAAAGAATGTTTGAAAGTTAACATTTGATGCTGTTTTCTTTTAGTTTTGGTGTTGTCCCGGGTGACAGCAGTAAAGTGCGATACAAACTTCTATTCTATGTAAAATGGCTTTCATTGTGATCAATATTATGCTATTTCTCAATTTATATGACCGTATAGTTCTTTTATGTATAATAGCACGTGACAAACCCATTTGCTTCAATTAAGCAAGAAAATACGTTTATTTAAAATACAGAACCTTTTTTAATCAGTATTTTTCAAATTTTCAAATTACTTATTTAGAAATCTCGTTCAGTATTTGATTGTGTTCCTTGCGACTCAATATTACATCTTTTCATAAAAAGTATTCTTAATTAATGATATCGCTTAAAAATGGCAATATAAAATTGAAATAAAAATTACTTTCAGATTATAAATAAAATTATCTTATATTGGAACCACGGAATAAGATCTTAGTCCGTTCTACATGACAAGTGCCAGTGACGCTCGACGACCAGAGCTGTGCCTATCTAATCGTCTATTTCTGTCAACAACAAACCAGCTATCGCCTTACATATTATTTATACGACCTGCTCGTGCCGATGTGGTGGTCTGACTCGGATCTAAGAATACATCCCTGTCTGCGCTATATTAAGAATGGAAAATCCATGGCTATTTTGAAATGTGTGCAGTAAATGGAAACAGCCTACTATTAAAAATAGAATTCCGTATCCTGGGCTATTACATGACGTGTTCAATCAAGCGCGCATTAGTTGCAATAGACGATCGATCGCGCGAGCTGCGTTAAGTTTAGCTCGTAAACCACATACTTATCAATATCATTGTCTTGGCAATGGAGCTAACTTATGAACGTGTCGCTGTAAATGATCGAGTTAAAATTAGAGTCGGTGTTTTCCTATTCCTATTTATAGTGTCCATGAAATACTTGGAGAAGGAACTAGACGATTTCAGGTAAGGATGACTTGGAAATTCCACTAAAAGTACATTTAATGTTCTGTTTTGTTGTTACAGTCTCGGTAAAATTCCATTACCATCTCACAATACTTCACGCCTTAATCTGATTAGGTCTACACGCATGCCTCCGAACATTATGTGCACACGTGTGTAGCTATATAGCCAGACATAGTGGGCCTTGGTTCGTCGCTCGCTAGTTCCTGTCACTGTGTTGGGGTATTGAACAAACTGAGGAAAGTCAAAAGTCCGGTAAACAGGGTTTTACGGGAATGGCCTGACCAGAACAGAAGAGACACGTGCCGTAGTCTGTCTGTCATCTGTTCACTTCGCCATATGTATTACATCTTTAGAAAAATATGTAAAATCTAACTGTTTTCATAATGAGGAAACTATTTCACATTTTTAATAAGGAGGTCAGAAGGGGAGGAGAGAGAGAGAGAGAGAGAGAGAGAGAGAGAGAGAGAGAGAGAGAGAGAGAGAGAGAGAAACATATTGTGCAGAGTCCTCGCACTTATCATAAACACCTTCATGACTACAATATTCGCCAGTCAGAGATCTGGAGATACCCTCCCTTTGGCCTCTAACACCGGAGATACCCTCCCTTTGGCCTCTAGCACCGGATATACCCTCCCTTTGGCCTCTAACACCGGATATACCCTCCCTTTGGCCTCTAACACCGGAGATACCCTCCCTTTGGCCTCTAACACCGGAGATACCCTCCCTTTGGCCTCTAACACCAATTCACAAAGGCAAGCTGATGGATTCATAAGGATCGATTAAAAAATAATCGATTAATCAAAGTCCTGAAAAAACCCAACGATGATAGGACTTGGGTACGTACACACGTTGATATAATTGCACATATGCTCAGAGAAGATCAGTAAAAAGTAGATATTGATGTTATGATTGAAGTATGTTTCATTACAGAAGCATATTATCGTATTTTTTATCTTAGCGGCGATATGTACCTGTGGATATAGCCACTGATTTGTATTTACCTTTTTTGGACCTTAGTTCAAAGGTCCCGTCATATATAGTTATTTGATCTTGATCTTGATCTTGATTTCGATCGATAAATCAACTAGGATATAGGTGAAAAACAAATCTGATGAAATGGTGTTATATGTCTGTTTTAATGTAGATACCCCTATCAATACCTCCGATCAGTACGTACCTGATAACAGATGTGATATCAAGTCCTCACGCGTAATAACTGAAAGGGCCGCATAGCATTCTCAACTTTTAAAGGATTTTTTTGAGTTTAACATACTGAGAAAAAAAGGTTGTCAAATCAAATTAATGATACAAACCCGAGTGGGATTTTAAGGTTCTAAACATAAATGATTACTGTGTAGAACCAATAGGGATTCATTGGCGAGACCGCTTTGAGACTTGTAATATTTACATTCCATTCCTAATTTGGCTCATAACTGGGAGGGGGCTAAGTGGAGGAGAGGCCTGCATCATTTTCCATTCTACAATAAATACTTTTTTTCTGATCAGCTCTTGACGGGACGTGAAAGGTATAGGATACAAAAGATTTTTTCTCAATATCTTCTGCTTTTTTATTTATGAAGTAAGGACGATAGCGCATGCATCATCAACTTTATTTGAAATTGAAATCCTAGCTGTCATCCTTTTCATAATACATAAAGTTTGTCGGCGGATCCTTTGATTTATATGATCTGTTGCCTGATTGATTGATTGATTGATTGATTGATAGCATTGAATAGGCAATCAGATCTCTGTGAACGGTAGCCCCTACCAACCAGCCGAATCATCTGGCAATCAGCGATGGGATACCCGCCCACCCCCGGCCAATCACCACCCTAACCATCGCGCACCCTCAGGCATCCACCACGCACCCCCTGGCGTTCACCGCGCAACCTCTGGCAGCCACCGCGCACCCTCTGGCAGGCATCGCGCACCCTCTGGCAGTCATCGCGCACCCTCTGGCAGTCAACGCGCACCCAATGAACACTACTACGACAATCAACGCGCACATGCACGTCTCGCCGATAATCGCGACCCTCTCGCTCCTAACAACGCCTTTCCTCCAGGACACGCGACTAACACCCTCCCATCAGATCCCCAACACGACACTCCGGCTCAACGAGAGACTGTCCTATAGGACACTACATCGGACACCTCAAACTTTGGACCAGATAAGTCCAATGAACTTAAGTTTGGCTTCCTAAATGTATGTGGTATAATATCTAAATTACTTGATCCCGAATTCCAAAACCTAATCATTAATTATGATGTTTTAATTTGTGCGGAAACAAAAATTGATGAATATGATGAACTGAATCTACCAAATGGTTATGTATCCTTTTCAAAATACAGAACTAAATTTAAACGTAAATCTGGAGGTATAACTGTTATCTTTAAGAAATGCTTATCCAATTACGTACGTTTTCATAAAACACAGTCTGAATATGTTCTGTGGCTTGAAATATCTAAAGACCTGTCTCTCCTAAATGAGAATATACTTACAGGTTGTGTATATATCCCTCCTGAGAATTCAAAGTATTCCTCAGACAGCGCATTCACAGAAATTGAGGATGAGTTGATTATGTTATCACATGAAAATAAAAAAATCATGCTTGTGGGCGATTTTAATTCTAGAACTTCTAAAGTTGTAGATTATATTGAACCCGATGAAAATTTATATGACATTTTAGACATTGCTGAAAACAATTTGATCATCGACAATATGTTTTCTTTCCAGAGATTAGTTCAACATGATATCCCCCTCTCAAGATGTACCCAAGATAAAGGACGTATTAATAACTATGGGTCAAAACTAATCGAAATGTGCAAACGATGCTCTTTATTTATCGCAAATGGACGAGTTTCTTGTGATAAGTATATAGGGAGAACTACCTGTAAAGATTCTAGTGTTGTCGATTACCTTATATTGACTGCTGATTTGTTCCCGTTAATAACATATTTTGAAATTAATGATTTTAACCCACTCTTTTCAGACGTGCATAATCTAATAAATTTCTCGTGTATGTTTCCGGGAAAAAAAAATATTAACGAAAAAGAAAGTCTTTCAGAGGGAGACTATATCAGATGGGATTACATGAAATCGGCAAATTTTTCACAAGAAGTGAAAAACAACTTACATAGTATTAATATAAATCTAAATAATGTTTTACTTAGTGATACTATCACCAAAGAACAGGTTAATGGTCTAGTGACCGACATATCTACTGTGTTAACAAATAGCGCCACTAATACAATAGGTGTGTCGCACCGTCGTAAAAATAAGTACAAAAATGTAAATAAGCCATGGTTTAACCACGATTGTAAACTTGCTAGAAACGCCTTTAATAAATATAAAATTAGATATAAATTTAACAAGTTAACGGAAACCAAGCACACGATGAATAAAAAAGGGAGAGAATACAGAAAACAACTAAGGAAAAATTACAAAAAATATCAAGAGAAATGCACAAAAGAATTAAGAGAGAATTCCAAACGAGACCCTAAAGCATTCTGGAAAACACTTAATAAATTTTCACAAAATAAAAATACTACACCAGACATACCTATTGACGACCTATATGACTATTTTAAGAAACTTAATTCACTCGAAGAGGACAGTAATAATGACGAGGTTGATAACGACAGTTTTGATAATGATGATGACGTCAACAATACATTGAATGTACCAATTACTGAATCAGAAATACAAAAAGCTATTAAATCATTAAAAAATAATAAAGCGTCCGGCCCGGACCGCGTTTTAAATGAATATCTGAAAAATTCCCCACCGGAAATGACCACAGTCTATTGTAAATTGTTCAATATAATATTAGACACGGGAATTATTCCGGAAAGTTGGAGTGTCGGCATTATCAAACCAATATACAAAAATAAGGGAAGTCCAGAAGACCCTGATAATTATAGAGCTATCACTTTAATTAGTTGTCTTGGTAAACTATTTACTTCAATCATCAATACCCGTCTTAATGAATATGAAAAACAAATTGATTTAATATCTCGAAGTCAAGCAGGGTTCAGAAAAGGTCATTCAACTATAGACAACGTTTTTATTATGCATATTCTCATTTCTATATATCTTTCAAGTGGCAAAAAGCTATACTGTACCTTTATCGATTTTAAAAAGGCATTTGATACCGTCTGGAGAGCAGGTCTGTGGCAAAAATTACATAGCAGCAATATAAACGGGAAATGTTTCAAAGTTATCTATAACATGTATAATAATATTAAATCCTGTGTTCAATTCAACTCGAAAACGTCAGATTTTTTCCCCTGCTTGATCGGGGTTAGACAAGGGGAAAATTTATCCCCCTTTCTTTTTTCAGTATTTCTTAATGACATTGAAAGTTATTTTGCTTCTTTAAGTTGTGTTCCACTCGAAAATGTACGGGATAAGCTGTATAATGAACTACATATTTTTGTAGAAATTTTTGTACTCCTATACGCTGATGACAGTGTCCTATTTTCAGAAAGTCCAGAGGGACTGCAGAGTGCTTTGAATGTATTCCAGCAGTATTGTAAGATTTGGAAGCTTAATATAAATGTAAATAAAACAAAAGTCATGGTTTTTCGCAAGAGGAAAAGTAAACAACAACATGTATTTGTATTACAAAATGAAATTTTAGAAATTGTAGATAATTTTACTTACTTAGGAATAACATTTAATTACAATGGCAGTTTTGTAAACGCAAGACGCAGATTGATCAACCAGGCCCAAAAGTCAATATTTGCTATCTACAAAAAAATCAGGAACCTTTCTCTTCCTATAGATTTACAATTAAAACTATTTGATTCTTTAGTGGAACCGATTCTATTGTATGGATCGGATGTATGGGGATTCGAAAACCTGAAAATAATCGAACAGATTCATCTCAAATTTTGTAAAAGAATTCTTAAAGTGAGATCCACAACGCCTAATTTTATGATTTATGGCGAGCTAGGTCGTGTGCCATTGGAAATAAATGTTAAACTAAGAATGTTAGGTT